GGTGGGGCGTCACCATCGGAACGTACCGGTGCTCCCGAATGCAAGAGCACACCATATATCAGAGACACGACACCACAGATGTGTGTCATCTGGAAGGTCAGCATCAGTTGTGTCTCGTCTTCAGCCAATTTAGAGCCGAATCTGTTCTCCACTTTCAGTGCCATTAGTTTGGAGACCGAACTGAACAGCGATATAATGCTTCGCCAGCACTGAGTCATCTCCGGACAGTCGTCTATCGGTTCCCGAATACTGTTCCTCGTGTTGACCATCATTAGCGACAACTTGTCAATCATACCGACGCTCACGATATAGCTGTCAATTGGACCCCAGAATGTCATTCAATGACAAAAACAGTTGAAAGCATTCACTGAATACCTGATCACGTCTTGAATCAAGTGATTAAACGCCAGACAGTCGTCAGTCGGGTCCACGAGTCTCGAGTAATGGGCGTAAAGTGTGTCGAAAATGGTCGACAAGAGCTGACATAAGGCGCCGACCACTGTATCGCAGGTCGTGGGACCGGTAGTACTGATTAGTGTCGTGTCCAACAGCTATAAACACCCAAAAATACATCAAAATATAGCCCAAAAATCACTAAAACCTAATAACTCATACGTTAATCCGATGGCACAGTATGTCCAACAACTCCATCATGAGGTTGGACTGCAGGACATAGTCGCTGACATCCCAGTGCTGACTGCATACCAGTTCGTAAACGGCGGCCAACTTGGCGTTCGAGCGGTCCGTTAGGGACGTCGGCCTCTCTTTCGTGCCGTTCGTAATGCGGGACAACATTTTGGTCAACAATTGGGTGCCGTTTAATGAGTGGAAATACAGCGAATCCGTGACGCCTTTCCCGCGAAACAGTTTTTCCAATTCATTCAGATTCCGCTCCAAACTGTGAGTCATATTCGAGGGCCAGTGGCCCGTGATTTGGGTGTCGGCGCTCAGTGTCGACAAGTCCTACACATTAATAAAACATTTTAAAAAATCAATTTAAAACTCACTTTAAATACACTAAACAAACCGTAAAATCATTAGAAAAAGTTCGTAAAACTCAACAAACAGTGAAAAGTCAAATCCAAAAACCGATACAAACCTTAAAAATCTTCGAAATCTTATTCTTATTCACGGATTGAATGCTTTTGGACGACAGCGCCGGTTGTGAACCCTTTTGGCCGACGTTTTGCTCGAATTGAACCGCTTTTGCGGCCAATCGTTGCTTCAATTTCTTACTCCTCTTACGCGCGGCTTTCAGTCTCTCGTTATCGCAGCTCTGAATGGACTTCTTGTCCGCGTCTACCGGCGCCTCCACTATGTATTTCACGTTAAAGTTCTCCAACTCCTCATTCGTGGGCACTTTACCACCGTTTTGCTCGCATATGGCGGCGTTGTGTCGCTTACCTGTCCATCAAAAACCACACAATTAATCGCAAATCAAACCCAAACCCCCGGCAGACATACCTCTCAAGTGTCCGAACAAAAACACCTCCGATTTGATCATCACTTGACACAACTGACACATTTTGCAGGTGTCGTACGGTTCGCATACCGGCGCGTCGTCGTTGCCAACGGTGGAGGACTTCCGGACGGACAGCTCCAGTGCTTTCTGACGGATTTGCGCCAAACTCTCCTCATGTCTTCGCGCGCTTTCGTCGTGTTTCTGTTGAATCTTTTTCTGCAACTCTTCGTTCTTCTGGGCGTACAGTGCGTCCATCGCCGACCGCTTCAACTGCCTGTCCAACGCCTACCAGTCCCCACAAAAAAACCGTATTAATAAAACAGCACTAAAACCACAACTCAATTACCCATACATTTAGAAAAAACATAAAAACTTAACCACAAATCAATCAAAAACCCAAAACCAGTGAACAATAACCCGAAAAAA